ACCGGTACCGCACAGTGGGTCTGTGTGTGGAGGTGGGGCTTGAGCGAGGTGATTAAGGTTAAATGAGGTCACTAGGACAGCTCCCATCCCATAGGACTGACATCCAGGTAAGAAGAGGAAACTTGGACAAAGAGACCCCAGGGGTGGGCAGGCAGAGGGACAGGCCTGTGAGGACACAGTGAGGACACAGGGAGAAGACACAGGCTTTGTACCCAGGAGAGACTCCTGCAGGCCGAGCAGCCTCCAGCCCTGGGAGGGGAGGCGAGTCTGCTGCTTGAGCTGCCGTCTGTGATCCTCTGTCCCTGGTCTGGGGCAGCAGGTTATTCTGAAGCAAGCCCAGGCCGGCAGGCTGCTGTGGCCGGAGTCTAGCGTGGTGGTCCTGGGCTGGGACCGTGTGCGTGCTGGGACCTGGGCTCCACCTAGGCTAGAGGTGAGGGAGGACCAGGCCCCACCGTGGTCCGAGACACCGGCAGGTGAGCGGGCTGCTCAGAGTGGCGGGCCTCCTGCACTGCGCTCTGTCATGTCCAAAGCTGGTCGTGTGGCTCGGCGGCCCTGCCTGAGCACAACGGTTCCTTCCTGGAGCCCTGAGGTTCATCCCTCCAACCAACCCGGGAACAGCTGCTGTTCCTCAAGTGCACTGCTCAGGTTTCATGGCCGCAGAGTGAGGGAGGTGAGACGTGGATGTGTCAGCTTAGTAGAAATAAAAAGGAGGTTTTTCCCTCAGCACCATGCTAGTGCCAAAAATGTGACAGTTCTCCCCTAAGTGTGCCTGAGCGCAGTGGTTTGTGGGATTGTGTTAAGAACTAGGGCATTTGATCGCAGGCATTGGATGTGTGTGGTGAAAACAACCCTCTCTAATAAGTGGGAAGTTGGGATTTGGGCTTTTGTTCACGGCTCAGCATGGTGAACTGCGGCGTGTGTCTCGTAACCCGGGGGCAGGAAGAACAGTTGAATTCTGAAAGTGTGTGAAAACCGGCAGTGTGACCTTCAGGGAAACCCGGTGTGGGTGTCACTCGCTCTTGCTGTGTTACCTGTGTTGTTACTTGTGACTCAAAGAAAAAGAGAAACTTATATTTAGTTGAGCCTTTATTATCCATTCCATAGTTGGGAATTCCATGCCACTGTTTTCCAAAAGCCTAATATGTGTCCTGAGTGTCCTGACCATTAACTGCAGTTGGGTGTGGTTTACAGTGTTCTGATGGTTTGTTAATTTAATGACTTGCACAGACCTGTCAGGTATGTCAACCTTCACGTCACCTGTCAGGAACTGTCCCAGGTCTCACTGTCATTACTGCCAGTGGACGTGTCACTCGAAATATATCTTAATATGCTCGGAGACACACCGAGGAGCTGAAGCCGACCTGCTGTGGACACCTGATGTCGGACCCAGTCAGGCTCTGTTCTGAGGTCCGGTACCCTCATGTTGAGCCTTCACCCCCGTCCTCAGAAGAGGAGTATACAGCCATGCCTGGTTTTTCCAGCCCCCACCAAGCATTTTGAAAAATTTGAATACACTGAAGTTGAAAGAATTTTATAGCGAACACACATACACCCATCACCTAGGTTCCAGGTTTCCTAGAATGTTTACTATACTTGCTGTGTCCCATATCTACCCATCTTTTCATCCCTCAACCTGTCTCATTTTTCTGAGGCCTTTCAAAGTAAGTTGCAGACATCATGTGTGTCATTAACTAGAGTTCAATACCTGTTCACAATTTTCTGTTAAATCTGTATGCACGAAATGTACCCATCTTAAACGAACACCAGCTGAATTTGACAAAAGCAGACATCTATGTGATCTAAACCTCTGCCGAGCCATAGAACTTCACCCTCACCCCTCTGCCTCGTAGGGCGCAGTTCTGATGGCTCCTGCTGTAGCTTAGTTCCGTCTGGAGTCGCTTGGTCTGTCCTGGGGCCCCACACCCGCATAGTGTGGCTAGGGCCCTTGGTCAGCATTGTGCTTTGTCGTCCCGTCGGGGTGCACGCTGTGCCAGTTGCTGAGTGGTGGTCGTCCGTGTGTCTCCCGCAGCCGCTCTGTCCAATCCCCTGGTCAGACAGCTGGGTTCTTTCCAGGTTTGTCTTATTAGGAAAAGCTGCTATGAGCATTTATGGACACCCTTTGCCATTTCTCTTGGGTGAACGCCTACTAATGGAATTGCCGAGTTATGTGGTGACTGTACGTTTAGCTCCCAGCTGTTCCGACGTGTTCTGTCTGCCAGTCCCACCAGCTACCAAGAGGGACTGTGAAAGCCTCCAGCTTTGGTTGTGGATTTTTTGTTTCTCCCTATAGTTCTGTCAGTTTTGGCTTCATGTATTTTCAGAGCTCTGTTCTTAAGTCCATATACATTTAGGATCCTTACATCTTGTTGAAATGACTCTTTTATTATGAAACGACCATCATTACTTTGATAATATTCCTTGTTTTGAGATCTACTCTGCCTGATACTAACATAGCCACCCCAGCTTTCTTACTCTGCTTGTTTGCATGGCGTGAGTTTCAAAATTCCTATAGCTTTGTGTCTAAACTGCATCTTTATAAACAGCATATTGCTTATGTAGTGGCTCTATCTCACTTTTTATCTAGTCTGACAGCTTCTGCCATTTACATTTAGTATAATAATTGAAATGGCTGTGTTTGTCCACCATTTTGCTGTTTGTTTTCTATTTCCCTCTGTGCTTTGTTCCTCCTTTTCTGTCTTCTCATGGGTTGGGTGTTTTCTGTTCCATTGTGTTGCTAACTGCTCTTTTCCGTGTCCCCTCTAGGATTACAGTATGTATTCGTAACTAGTCACAGGCTGCGATAAATTAAAGCTGTACCATTTCTTGTCTCATGTAAGAACCTTTCAGCAGTATCGTTCCGTTTATACTTCCTGCTGTCACTTTGACATGTTTTATTTCTACACATGTTGTAAATCCAACATTATATTATTTTTGCTTTAAACACTCGACTTTCACCTTTTTCTATTGAAATAATTTTAAATTTACATAAAAGTTGCAGAAATAGTACACAGAGCACCCATGTACCTCCTACCCACTCCCCCCAATTGTTAACCTTTCTGAACTATTTAAGAATAAGTTGCAGATGTGGCGTCCCAGCACCCTTTATTTTCAGTATGTGTTTCCTGGGTACAACCTCACCTCATTGGGGCCATCACAACCAAATACATTTACATCTCAGAAAAAATAGCAAAATATATTCATGGAAAAATAATGAAAAAAAGATCCTACCCACCAAAAACAACTATTATTAGAGCTTTTCAGGTCACTTTCCTGTGTTTGCCTGCACAGCCTTATTTCCTTGGTATCGTTTATTTCAAATACTTGCTAAGTGCCCACTGGGCACAATGCTTCCTGGGGAGACGTCGCTGCCCTCCTGAACCTCCTTCACTGTCTCGTGAGGGGGTCGTGGTGCCGTGAAGGTGAGAGACCCAAGTGCTGTTAGAAGGGGCTGTGGGTGCGCAGTGAGCTGTTGTCATGAAGATTCCACGCACGGACAGGTTGTCACGTCTGTCCCAGGGTCTGTGAACCTCAGGCAAGGCGGGCTTTACCGTCTGTGTGGTGTGTCCCATCTGGTGGGCAAAGCCCTGCCAGGCCAGCAGCATGGGAGTGGAGGGCCTGCTTCCTGTAGGTGTTTCTCTGAGAGAAACTCCTGAAAACACACAGACTGGAAATAGAAAGCTACCTTGTGTCTGCCTGGCTTGGCATCGTGACTGTCTGTCTCCCTGAGTTAATGTATAATGTGATCCCAATAAAAATACCATCCGGCTTTTTTCGGGACGAGGCCCCTTGCCCGAAAGCTCACTTGTGTTACAAACAAGCCAGAAAAGCCAGAAAATCTCCAACAAAGAAGAGCAGGAGGGAGCGGTGCAGACCCGGGGTGCTGTGGGCTGGCCCGTGAGCAGGAGCAGGAGACAGTGCAGAAAGCACTGCCCAGGGAGACCGAGTGGCAGGAAAGGGGCACCCCAGTGTAGTGGGCACGTGATTAGTGCCGGCCGTGGCACCTGGGCAGGCGTGTGGAAAGGAACACAGTAGGTCTGCCCTTCCTGTTGTGCACCAGGATGCACAACAGACTGTTCAGAGACTTAGATAAAAGCAAACCAGCCATAAAAGTACCAGGCAGAAAGAAAGGTGGGTGATTCTTCAGTGGCCTGGGAGATGAGGATGCTTTCTTACCTATTTCTCAAAATCCAGAAGCGGTGAGTGTAGTGACCAAAGGCCTGAGTAACATCAGCACAAGCAAAGTGAAAGGACAATAGATCCAGAAAAATATGTGCAACTTACCACATAAAAGGTAAACGTCCCATTTATAATTACTAAGAATAGAACAGGGGGGGGGCCGAGTGGCGCGTTGATTAAGAGCTAACTTGGGATGCCAGCTCCGAGCAGCAGGGCCCCGGTTCGGATCTCACATGAGGGCAGTGATGCTGCACCCCCTACAGCTAAGATGGTGAACAACAGCTCAACCTGGAGCTGGGCTGCCGTGAGTCTCCGGCGAGACGTAGGCTGCAGTGGGGCTGGCCCGCAGCGGGTGTGAGCTGCCATGAGCAGCTGTCCAATGGCCAGCTAGTGACTGCCTCAGCCGGGAAGAGCGCAATGATAATACCAACATGGGCCAGTGAAGCAACGTCCTCCACAACTGGACTGAAGAACAAAAGGACAGCAGCTTGTCTGTTCCCCTTCCCCGATTCCCCAGAGCCGTTACCCTCCCCCAATTCCCCAATAAAAAATCTTAAAAAAAAAAAAAAGACTAGAATAAGGGCCTGGGACCTGGGCGGAAATGACAGGCCCAAGATGGGACCAGTTCCTGGGAGAAGACACCGGCGGCTTTGGAAGGCAATGCTGGCCCTTGGATGAGGGGTACACGCTGGCTCCCTTGCCAGCTGTGGGTGCGGCCACCTCATCTCTTCTCAGGGCTCCAGTGAGCGAGCAGCTCCGGTGGGTGGGGGTGGAAGCTGTGGTTTCTGTTCTTCCGGTTCTTTCACTGCTCTTTTCAGAGGGAGGGCTCACATCTGACCATGTTTTTCAACAAGATCAGAACGAGCAAGCGAATGCACTGACTGTCGCCAGAGGCGTGGAGGAAGCAGAGCTTCTCCACGGAAGTCCCTCCCCTGACAGTCTTCCCAAAGGCCGGTCCATGGAGGACGAGGTGGGTGTGAGCTGGCGTGCGGAGAGCCGGCTAGAACGATCATGTGGTTCCCCCAGGGGCGTTGTGAGCCCAGACAACCCGGCCTCGTGGCCCCTGGTTTGGGAAATGGGGGGGATTTCTGCTGGCTTCCGGGTCTGAGAACCGGGGCTCTGGGCAGACAGTGGCCAGGTGTGGAGCTGTTTATAGGCTGTCTGAACTCAAGGAATAAGAGGCCACAGGTGTCACAGCTGCCGGGAAGAGCAGTCTGCATGTGGACTTGTGGTCACTTAGGACCCAAGATCCAGGTTGGAACATGAGTCGGGGGAAAGGCCAGGAGAAACCGCGTCCGTGACCCAGGAGGAGCCCCCGGCCCAGGGCAGTGTATGCGGTGGGGCTTGGTCTGTGGAAGGCCTGGGGCCTCTGCAGCTCCTGAGAAAGGCCTCTCTCGGTTGGCTGGGCTCCATTGCGAAGCGTCACGCTCCTGGGGCTGAGCTGGTGCTTCTGTCTTTTGGGGTCAGAGGCCCTAAGGTCATTTTGGTGATGATGCACCTGGGTACTCAGGAAAAGTCTTGCTGTGTGATGGGTGAATGATTGCAAGCCTAACAGTGCCCTCAGGACCGGCGATCGGGAGACCTCCAGTGGGTTAAGCCATCCACTGTCAGTTACTGCAGCCCTGGTGTCAGAATGTCCCTGGTGGTTCCTGTTCTTCATCCAGAACTTCCCTTTACATTTCATGCGCAAAAGCAACACCAGCCCCAAACCCTGAGGTGCCGCCTTGCTCTATGTTTCTGGAAAAGCGGAGTCGGTACTCGGCTGGGGTCATGCGCGGCCAGTGGCAGGGGCGGCTCCCCACGCCCCACACGCCTGCGGCAGCCGATTCCTCACTGTCGGCCTTGTCGCCCAGGCGGCACCTTTACAAACAGGCCACTTGGTCTGAAGCTCACCGTGGAGGCGCTGGGCCAGCGGCCTCGCTGTGGATGTAGCTCCTGTCCACCTGCTTTGGGCTATGTTCCCTGTGTGACTGACGACCGAGGGTGGGGACTGTGTCTCACGCACCTGCAGGCCTCCCCGATGTCTGGCCTACATAGGCCCCAAACAGATTAACCAGCTTTTACTTCTGCCCCGGCCGGGTACTGCGGGGCAAGGAAGGGGTACTCCAGGGCTTCCTGCAGTCACAGGGGAGACAGCCAGGCCCCCTCCTGGGCGCACTGGCGGGCTTCCCCTCTTCCACCTCCCACTCTTGCTTTGACATTTACTTTGATTATAGGATTAGCCCCCAGGCCCCTCTAGATGCTGACCAGGGTGTGAGGTGCCCAAGCACTGGTCCCGGAGCACGGAGCCCCGAGGGCCGGGCAGAGGGAGCACGTGCTGTGTTCCTACATGAGGGAAGGCAGGGGACTCCTGCCATGGGCTGCTGGCACCACAGCCCTAGCCACACCTGCCTCACCCTCAGATCCTGGGGTGAAGTGACCAGTGGAGCAGGAAGGTCAGATGATGCTGCGTTTTGTTGTCTGGGGCAGCCTCCCCCTTTCTGCCTTCTTCCTCTCGCTGAGAACTGGCCCTTGACCTTCCAAGTGTCTGTGAACACGTGAAGGCTCAGCCCCCCAGCTGGTGCCAGCTGGCCCGAGGAATCCGGCACCGGCCTGGGTGTCTAGTGCTTTCCTCCGCAGCCCGGCACGGCCAGCACCCGTTTGCATGGGGACATGGTGGTTGTGGCCACTTCTGCGTGTTAGCCGTGGGTGGACACGAAGCCTGCGTGAGCAACAGTTGCATCCATTGCCGTTTCTGCCTGCAGCCTGGAATCGTGTCGCCGTTTAAACGAGTGTTCCTGAAAGGTGAAAAGAGCAGAGATAAGAAAGCCCATGAGAAGGTGACAGAGCGGCGTCCGCTGCACACTGTGGTGCTGTCCGTGCCTGAGCGCGTGGAGCCCGACCGACTGCTGAGCGACTACATCGAGAAGGAGGTGAAGGTAAGGGCCTGCCGCCTGCCCTGCCCACTGCCGCCTGCCCCGCCATGGTGTCTGATAACGGGGCACTGCCCCTGCCTCGCCACCTTCCCAAAGGCTGGAGCATGCGTTTTGATTCCTTGGTTGGCCTTAGAGCTGCCCCGTGTGTGTGGGTCTCCTAAATGCTGTCCAGCCTGTGCCCAGGGCACACTTGGATAGTCTCTCGCCCAAACTCACGACAGTGAAAATAAGTGAATAGGAAGGTACAGAGTCATGAGGCCAGAGAGAATGCAAAGGGGACCCAGTGAGCGGTGAGGCCGGGACCCTGCCCAGGGTGCCGATGCAGGTCTGCTGAGCAGGCGGAGCCGGTCGGGTGCATGGGGCGCTGTGTGTCCCGCCGGGTTCCACTCTTACCTGGCCATCATGAGAGGGCACCTGGCAGGTGTCCTGGAGCAGACGTGGGCACACCTGGCACCAAGGATGGTTGGGAGGCTCAGAGTGAAAGCCTGCATGTGGCTGGTGAGAGCCGCCTCGTCCCCGCCAGGTTTCCAGGAAGCTTGCCGCCGGGGGCCCCCTGCAGGACAGGGCGCTTCCTAGGAGCCGTGCTGCTGTGGAAGTGCTGCCTCCGTGCTGAGAACGGGATGGTCGGTGGTCTGTGCGCAAGGCCCTGTCGCGGCCGCCCGGGGGCTGGTGCATTTGGAGAAAATGTGAAGGCAGAGCCCAAGCAAACTCAGGAAGTAAATGTGAATGAAACAGCAACAATGTGGAAAATATGGGAAAAACAAAAACAAGGATAATATTCTCAGAAAGATAAGAGGAAACACTGAGGCATGAAATAAGATCTCCTTTAAAATAAAGCACAGGTGGAGACAGCAGGCTTTGGAATTTAGAGTATTAACTATACATCTTTGCTCGTTAGAGGGAGGGTGAAGAGGGTAAATCCATGGACGGAAGGTGGAGAGCACATAGTGCGTGCAGTACACAGATGACTTACTGTAGAACTGTACACCTGAAACAAATTTATTAACCAGTGTCACCCCAATAAATGTAATTAAAAAGTTCATTAGAGGGGTCGAAAGGTAAAGTCAAGAAAATCACCCAGAAAGAAAAACCAAAAGACAAAGAGATAGAAAATTAGTAAAGAAAAGATGCAAGAGAGCAACAAGAAAATTACCGGATCGATCCGGTAGGTCAGCACCCAATTCAGGAGAAGGAAGAATGGGGAAAAAGGTGGGTCGCAGAGTTCACCCAGGGCCACGGCGCTCAGACCAGCATCGCGCACAGCGAACGGAAAGGCAGCCTCTAAGCCGTGAGCCCAGAGCGCATCCTGAGGAAGCCGGAGGGCATCACAAGGCGGAGGACGCAGATTGGAACCCGGGGGCTGGGGTCTGGCCCAGACAGGAGCGAGCGAGGGGTCCGGGAGAACGGAAAGCCGGGGCTGGGACGAGGGGCGTCCTCTGTCTTCTGACCGGCAGCTGGGCCACGGCCGCAGGCCAGGCTGTTGGCAAGAACGTGAGGCTGGAGCTTCTCAAGCGTGCCCACCTGGTGCGCCCCTCCCAGCAGGGCGCAGGTTCTGCCCGGGACGCTTGTCTGTCAAGGCAGATGTTGCAGGGAGGCTCACCTGGGCTCATTGTGAACATGATGGCAGTTGTTTCTGGAAGCACGTTCCACTGCTTAAGCTGAAGTGGTGAGCTCGCCGAGACCGGCTGCTGTGTCATCTTCACTGGTACGTGGGCCGGCTGAGCTGATGTGACCGGCAGTCAAATGTCCCCTTGGTTTCTCCCATCCATCACGGTCATCCCTCTGAGGCTGCGTTCTAGTTCTCTGTACGTTTGGGGTACTAACCCCTGATCAGTTATATAACTTGCAGTTACTTTCTCCCAGTGTGTAGGTTGCTTTTTTACTGTGTGGATAGGGTCTCTTGATGTACAAAATTTTTAGATTTTCACGAAGGCCAGTTTGTCTTTTTTTGTTGCCCGTGCGACTGGCCCTGTGGCTGTCGTCTGACGCCTGTGGATGACCGGCTCCAGCACTTGGGTCCCTGTCACTCTCAGTCTCAGGGACAGCGTTCACTTTACCATCTCGCTCTCTGATGGATCAAAGAGTTGTTGGTTTATCAGTTTGTTCAGCTTTTTTCTTGTGATCACCGGATGACGACTTCCAAGCTCTTTAACATGTCAAGCTGTGGTTGGAAGTCCAGCGTCACCGCTTTGTAACAGTGATCCTAAATACGTGAGTCGGTGAAAGACTGGGAAGGGTTGCGTGCAGGAGGTCTGTCTGGGAAGGGATCAGTAACCATGACACCCTCACAGAAACCTGTGTCAGTGGTAGGGACTCAGCATGAGCACCAGCGACACGTGCTGTGTCCACTTTCAGACCTCGCACACGCTAAAGGAAGGCTCAGCTGAGTCAGGTGCTCGTGGCCACAGGTCCCTTCGCCTCTGTGCTGGTGGTCCCATCCCGCCACCTGGCACTCTGCAGCTGGGTGCACGCGGTTGTGTTAGGGAGCTTGCAGGACTGCCGACAGCACCGAAGCAGCCCCGCAGCAAGCGCAGTGTGCTCCCCCCGGCCGGCACCGCTTTCTCCAGGACTCTGAGCACTTCCCAGGGGCTTCGCTTGAGCTGCAACCGAGGCAGCGCGGGCTGGGGGCGGGAGCGAGGCTGGCAGTGTTCCTGTGGGTCTGGGCAGGGCTGGCCGTCCCCTCCTCACAGACTCTGTCTCTTCTCTTTCTCTCAGTACTTAGGTCAGTTAACGTCCATCCCCGGATACCTGAACCCTTCCAGTAGAACCGAGATCCTGCATTTCATAGACAGTGCAAAGGTAACCCACTGCTGAGCCGACCTCTGACCCTTGGCCTCTCCACCTCCCAAACTCTGACCCTCAGCCTCTCCATTTCCCAACCCTGACCTCTGACCTTTGGCCTCTACACCCCCCAAACCCGCCCCCTGGCCCTCCCACTCTGACCGCAGCTCTTGGCGCTTTGCCCTGGGCCTTTGTGGCCGGTGGGATGACCCAGTACCCTCAGGCTGTGAGTGCCCTTGGACGTAAAGACAGTTCCTGGGTCTGAGCATGAGCTTTATTCCCCAGATGTGCTCCACTGGTTTGGGGCTGTTTTCAGACTTCACGTTTTCAGTTAGGCATACCCCATGCCATCGGTCTGAGTGTGAAGGCAGAGGAGCCCATGTGGTGACCACGGTCAGGCCGAGGCCAGGCGGGCTACATGTGCCTGACGCCGTGTCATCCCTTCCAGAGAGCCCACCAGCTCCCCGGACACTTGACCCAGGAGCACGATGCTGTGATCAGCCTGTCTGCCTACAACGTCAAGCTGGCCTGGAGGGACGGGGAGGACACCATCCTCAGGGTCCCCATCCACGACATTGCCGCCGTCTCCTACGTGCGGGACGACGCCTCACACCTGGTGGTGCTGAAGACAGGTGCGCAGCTTGGGGAGCAGGGCCGTGGCAGGGGCAGCACACCTCCACGCTGAGGAGATCAGGGTCTGTAGCGCTGGGCTAGCTGCTGCGCCCGAGGAGCGGCCCTCCACTCCCCGAGTCCCCAGAACAGTGCCGAGTCCGGCCACTGTTGCTGGGAGCCCTGTGGGCCTGTGGCTTGTCTGGTGCTGCCCCCTGCAGGACACTGGGTGTTGTCCTGCGCCCCGGCCTGGTTGAGGCAGCAGGATGCTGTGGTCGGGCCTCAGTCTAGCCAGCGTTTGGAGGTGGAGGGACCGGCAAAGGTCACCCAGTTGGCAGATGGTGGGGCCCGCTGGCTGTAGGAACTGGCCTATAACCACATCTGCCACTGTGCCCACCACTGGATGGTTCCTCCAGCTGGCCCAGGTTGGGGGCGTCCTTAGGGACTAAAGTGGGTGGGTAGCTTCTGACTGGTCCTGCAGCTGGTCAAGTGGGCTCTGGCCCGCAGTCCCTGGTGCTGCAGGACAGTGCCCAGCGTCTGAGAGTTTGGCTACCAGGTTTCTAGGAGTGAGAAGGAGCCCACAGGAGAGAGTCCCAGAGACGCGAGCCAGGACCCGGCGTTGAGACCTCTGCATCAGAGGCAGAAGCTGGGTCTCTGTGTGCACGGGGGACAGCGGACGTGGGTCCGCAGCAGGACCCGTGGGGGCCGCCTGCGACTGCAGCTGCCCTGCCTTGAGGGTGGCAGTGGACTCATGGAAATAGCACCCTCTCACTCTGTGTGGCTTTTGAGCCACTAACAACGTTAAAAACAGTAGAAAGAGCCAGTGAGATGAGTGTTACTAACATATTTCACATGACTGTCTGATCCGACGTAGCTGGTCGGCATAATCTGCGTCCTAGTTACTGATGAGACATCAACTCACTTCTTGTTCCGACTCTGAGACCCTGTGTGTGGTTTACACTTAGGGTCATTTGGGACTTGTCACATGTCACACATTCAGTGCCTCTGGCCGTGGCCGCCGTGGGACAGTGCAGTTCTGGGGTCCCCTGGGATTTGTGGGGCTCAGCTTGCACACGGGGAACTACCCCGATCTGCTGTCACTGGCCCATCTGAGCTTCAGGTGCTCCCTGTCCTGTGGTGGCACCCAGGCACCTGGGAATCTCAGGCTTCATCCTGTTCCCGCTCCAAGGTGTGTCTGAGCTGATGCCCCTGCAGAAGCTCCCCCAGGCCGAGGGACACAGCGGGGCTCTCACCTCGAACGGCCCTACACGCACACGCATGCCTCAGTTTCCCCATCTCCTGTCAGGATCGTGTTCACAGCCCATCACATATTGACGAACCCTGTGAACACCTTTGGGTAGATCAATAGAAACTGTGTATCAGCCATTCCGCCGCTCAGCCTCAGCGGTTCCCACGTCTCTGCAAGGACGCCAGGTCACGAAGGCTGATGGCCTCAGTGGGCAGTGTGACGCTGAGCTTGCTCACCTGTTCCTGTCCTTAGAGGAGGCAGTGGAGGGTGCGCGGTTGTCCTCACCTGAGCCAGGCAGGGGCGGCCCAGAGCCTGCTGTTGACCTCCCCACATGCCCTAACCTGCTGTGGTGTTGACTTCTCAGCCCAGGACCCCGGCATCTCCCCCAGCCAGAGTATGTGTGCGGAAAGTTCCAGAGGCCTCACCGCAGGCTCCCTGTCGGAGAGCGGAGTGGGGCCTGTGGAGGCGTGCTGCCTGGTGATCCTGGCCACAGACAGCAAGGTGAGCAGGGCTGGGAACTGGGAGCAGGCCCTTCCCCCACAGCTGGCCAGGCCCACAGGCCCCACTCAGTCTGATGCCCTTGGGCGGTGCTGGGCGGTTCCCTGGCCTCGCCCCTCTCTCCCCTGTGCCGATGGGGGTGGCGTCTCGTGCACCCCAAGCGGTGGCCCCTGGGAAGATTCCTGGGAGCGGTGAGTTAAAGTTGAGGCCCCAATTAGGCACGTGAGGGCCTCCAGTCTTGGGGAGCATCTTGGTGCTCTTCTGTTTAGTTTCCGCATCTGTAAGACCATAGCAGCAGTGCCTTAGGTGGCCTCTGACCAGCATCCTTCCTCGGCTCGGCCTACCTTCCAGCTGGGCAGTTCCTCCTTGAGGGCCGCCTCCCTGGCCCGTCCCCCCCGCAGAAACCCCCCCAGACATTGCCCCCATCCTGGTCAGTGAGCCTCCTGGTCACGTGTGAGGCGCAGTGTTGGGGACGCTCCGCCCCTTCCGAGGCTGGGCCGGGCGAGGGGATTGGCCGGCCAGGGCAGTGGGAGGAGCTGCAGGCAGCGTCCCATCCTGGTGCCCACGTGGCACCCGCGGGGCTGGGTCCGGGAGCCGCCCAGCCAGGTGCAGCTCTGTCCTCACGGCAGGTGGCCGCGGAGGAGCTGTGCTCCCTGCTGGGGCAGGTCTTCCAGATCGTGTACACGGAGTCCACCATCGACTTCCTGGACAGAGCCATATTTGATGGGGCCTCGACACCCACCCACCACCTATCCCTCCACAGTGGTGAGTGAGGGCGGGCGGCGAGGGGGCTGCTGCCACGCGGGGGCAGGGACGTTGCCACCGCCCTGGTGTCCTGGGGGTTGGAGCCACCACCTTGGTTGCCAGACTGTTCACATTGACCACAGGCTTGGTGAAGGCCAGCCTGGGGGCTTCCGGGGGGGCTCAGGAGCATAACTGGGGGGCCAGAGCACTTTTCCTGGAACCGCCTGTGGCTGACTCAGGTACCTACTTCAGAACTGAGGCCAGGAGAGGCTCCCGGCGCTGGGGCTGCGAGTGGCTGTGGGAGCCCCCCTTCCAGACCGCCCAGGCTTGTGGGCTGTGGGGGCCCCTCCCAGGACGAAGGCTGCCAGGGTGGGGGGGACACGGAGCCCCATAGGCAGCACTTGGGCGCTCCCTTTGCCCCCTGCTGCACAGGTGCTGCGCGTACACAGCACACTTCAGCCAAACCTGCTTTTCAAATTTATGGTTCATTGAGGTTTCACGGCTGCTCTTAAGTTAGATGCACAGAAGGGAAATGGGGGACCATGCAGCTGCAGCCCATTGTCACCTTTCTGTGCAGGGATGGCCCGCCCTGCCCGCTCCCCAGGGCTCACGTGTCAGCCAGGAGCATAAAGCCCGCAGACTCCCCTTTGTGGGTCGGGGCTCTTTGAGGGGACCCATCCCAGAGTTGGCTCCCCTGCTGCCTCCCGGCACACGTCCCCAGAGATGTTGGCGAGGTGGGCAGTCTGTCCTCTCGTGTGTGGGGAGGTTGAGGCCCAGCAGCCTGTGGCTGCCCCAGTGAGTAGCCTGTGGTTTATTGAGCTGTAAACATTCAATTTCAGTGTGATCAGTTTGGCCCTATGTGTTAAAATTTCCAATGGGGTCTTTTTTCAAGTAAGTTTTTTTAACTAAAAAGTACACAGATCGTAAATGTGCAGTGGGAGGAGCTTTCATGAAGCAAGCACACGATGTACACAGCCAGGGCCGCCTCGGGCCTGTCACGCACATGCTCACACGCCGCACATGCTCACATGCCGCACATGCATACACACCACACACGCTCATGCACACACACGCTCATGCACACATGCTTACGCACACCACACACGCTCACGCACACACATGCTCATGCACACACATGCTTACGCACACCACACACGCTCATGCACACACTCACGCCCTCGCATCCCCTGCTGATTTCTTCCCTGTCAGTTGTCCTGTACCTGTGTCACAGGTCACCCAAACCTTGCAGCTCAGACACATTGGGGCTTCCAGTCCAGCGGGTCTCCCTGGCCAGGGTCAGGTGCTGCCGGGCTTGTCCCCCCAGCTCCAGCCTTTTCCAGCGTCTGGGGTTTCCCCTGTCTTCGCAGTGGCAGGGTTGTGGGTGTGACCTCACATCTCTGCCCTGTCTGCACAGTGGAGGGCCCATCAGACAGCCCGGGACAGTCTCCCTGTTAAGTCAGCTTTGGAGCCACTGCCTTCCCCACTGCATGGCATGTAAGGGTCCCAGGTCCCGGGTGTGGGCGTGATGCCCTTGGGGGCCGCTGACTGCCCACCACACTCACTCCTACTGCCAGTAGCATCTCTCTTCCTCCCGTCTCCTGTCACATTCCCACACTGTCACCCGCCTGTCTGAGCTCACTCACGTGGAACGGTGCTTCTGTGTCCCTCACGGTCAGGGCCACGCAGTCCTTAGGTCACTGTCCCGTGTTTCCTAAGGAGCGGCTGTGTACCAGGCGTTGGCTGGTCTGAGGGTGTCTGTCTTTGGGGAGTATCCGTCCATGTGTGGAGCTGGTCTGGGTCCAGGCTGGGGGTCAGCTGGCAGCTCCAACTGTGGCTTCTACCCTGCCAGCCATGTGACCCAGGGCAGGCACATGACCCACCTCTCTGATTCAGTTCCTCGCCTGGAACTGGGCATGGTGATCGGGGAAGACAAAGCAACACAGGCGCTAGGACTCTGCTGGTGGGGCCCCCTACTTACAAACAGGCCTTTTCTTGTCCTTGGCCACTGGGGAGCCCTCCCCACCCCTGCCCCTCCGCCCAGACCAGCAGGTGTGTGTCTCACAAACCCTCAGGAGAAGCACCCCCAGGGCCCGGCCTCTGCCCTTGAAGGCCTATTGGCGCCCCCGCCAGGCTCCGCTGGCCTGCTGAGCGCCGGGCCCTGCACTGCCACCGCCCCTGCCTAACCCGAGGCTGCTCTGCATTTCCGTAGATGACTCTTCTACCAAGGTGGACCTGAAGGAGCCCTACGAGACGGACGCCAGCACCTTGTGAGCACCTGGCCCACCCCTCCTCTCCCTGTGGGGTCCCCAGGGTCACACTGGTGATGTCATTGCTCCGTGAGAGCCTGCTAGGCGCTGTCTCCTTCCAGGTCCCCTCCTGCATGGTTGCGTGGTCCTCTGTCCCCCCACCGTGCCCCCTCTCCACCGCAGGCCCCTTCCTGTCACCCACCCTGGTCCCCAGCAACAGCTGGGCCCTTCAGGGTGTCAAAGGGATGGGGCAGAGTGGGAGCCACGCACCCACTCGTGTCCCTGCAGCTCCTTCCCCGAGTGCGTGCACGCGGGCGGCGTGTCACCCTTGAACTTCTGTATGCCAACGGTGCCCCACGCCAAGGCCGCCAGCGAGAGCGAGCTGAGTGCCACGGCCGCTGAGCTGCTGCAGGACTACATGCTCACGGTAGGCCGTGCTGCCGGGCGTCTGCTGTCAGGCTTGCATGGGGCTGCCCCGGCGGCCGAGGGCTGGTCCCTGGGCCTGCATGTGTGTCCCCCAGAGGGCCCCCAGACACGGAAGGACCCAGGCGGCATGGGTGGAGGGCACAGCGTGGGCCCCCCGTCACCATTGCCCGCCCCCGCAGCTGCGCACCAAGCTGTCGTCGCAGGAGATCCAGCAGTTTGCCGCCCTGCTGCACGAGTACCGCGACGGGGCCTCGGTGCACGAGTTCTGCATCAGCCTGCGGCAGCTCTACGGGGACAGCCGCAAGTTCCTGCTGCTGGGTGAGCCGGTGGGCGGGCAGAAGGGCTCTGCAGGCAGGCGGCGCGGGCAGGTGGTGGGGAGTGGGGTGTGCTGGGCGGAGGGGCCAGACGCCACTGCCAGTTGGTAGGGCGGACCCTCGACGCGGCTGTGCCTGCCCTCGCTGACCCTAGAGAACAGGCTGCTTGATGGGCATCTTGGGCTCCGCCCCTAACAGCCTGAGGACACCGGTTGTACCCTCATCCGCTGCTGTCCGAGGTTCTGAGGCCCCTGACCCCAAGTCACAGTGTTTTCCCAGTCTTGTTGTCGCATGGGAGGCACCTCTTGTCTGGAAGTGGGTGGTCCCCCCAGAGATGGGGGTGCTTCACTAGGGACCTCCGTCAGCTTTCCTCTGCCCCTCTTGTTTCCTCCACTTAGAAACCTGCCCCATAGGGCATCCATCGCACACGGTGTTCCAGGGCTCCGGTGTCCCCACCCGGGGGCAAAGGGCAGGGAGCTTTTCTACCACAGGACTTTTTGAGAAGCACCCCTTTAGTTGGGGGGCGCCTGTGCCCTCCCGGGGTGGGTGGCGACCTTGGGTGGTGGGGCGCCTGCCTGCCTGGAGGACGGGATGTCTTAGCCGGCACGAAGTCACGCGTGTGGTGTATCCTTAGGTCTGCGGCCCTTCATCCCCGAAAAGGACAGCCAGCACTTTGAGAACTTTTTGGAGACCATAGGCGTGAAGGATGGCCGTGGCATCATCACTGACAGCTTTGGCCGCTGCCGGCGGGCCCTGAGCTCCACCTCCACCTCTAACGGGAACAGGACAGCAGGCAGCTGCGACGACCAGTCGGCACCCTCTGAGGGGGACGAGTGGGACCGCATGATCTCGGACATCAGCAACGACATTGAGGCCCTGGGCTGCAGCATGGACCAGGACTCTGCCTGACGGTGCCAGGAGGGCCTGCCAGTTTACCCTCCCCATGTGAGCGGTGCAGGTGGCCCTCTGCTGTGACCGAAACTCTGGTGCATGGGCAGGGGCTGCCCCCAGCTGCCTGCACATGGCCTGCACCGGGTAGGGTCCTGTGGGCCAGACCCCGGACAGCTGTCGCTTTTGCACATGACATCCCATCGAAACTCTCAGAGACCTTAAAAGAAGTTTACTGCAATGTGAATAATTTATCTCTGGCTGCCAGCGTGTTTCTGATCCTGGCCGGAGCTGGGTGTCCCCTGGCCTCTGCCTGGGACCCACATGCCCAGGGCTGCCCTTCGGCTGATGCTGCCCAAGCCAGCCAATGGGGAGGGCCAGGTTGGGGCTTTTCCTTTCTGGACGTGGGGCTGGGAGCAGGTGTCCTGGGTGCCTGTGGGTGTGTGTCAGGCCTCGCTGTCAGGACCCGGCACTGGGCTCTCTGAGAGG